TAAAGTCATAAATTAAATGCGAATCGAAACAATAGATTTAGGGTTTACATCCTTACACAATAATTTAAAATGCTCAATAGGGATACGAGAACGACCTTCTAAAAGAACAAATCAAAATCAAGAAAATAAATGAAAGACAATGTGATGAGCATTTTAGGACGACCTTCATTAGTTTTTGAAGGGAGTTCTGGTGGTAAACTATTCACAACTCTTTTGTTGATCGGGATTTGGGTCTTGTTCCTCTTGATCTGAAATAGTTAATGAAAGAGTGAGCTACCCTAACCTAATAAGAATATCACATTTGTGACGACCCCAGAAATTTAAAAGGAAATATATAATAATTTAAGTGCAGAAGGGAAATAAAATGTTAATATTTACATCCCTTACACAATAACTTAAAAGTACTAAACAAACATCACGGAATGAATTCTCTAAAAGAAATACAAGAAATGAGAAAAGTAAAGGAAAATATAAAATATCTAGCATTTACTCGCAATCTTCTTGCAGATCGGGCTTGGGAACCAAGTTCTCTTGATCTCAAATAGTTAATTAAGGGGTGAGATACACTAGCCCAGTAAGAACATCACACTATATCACCGGCACAGAAGCAAAGGTTGGTAGAAAATTTGTAACGCCCAATAATTTCTTGATTTTTATTTTTATTATTATTATTAATTTTAATTAGTTTATTTTATAATTTTATTATTTTAATTGATTTATTTAATTTAATTTAAATTTTTCTTAATAAAAATAAAAATAATAATAATGATAAAATGGGGTAAAAATATTATTTGGATTTAATTGAAATTGATTTTGGAAAAAATGGGTGAAAATTAGGATTCTGGGGGTACTTTTGAAAAGAAAATCAGAAACCGGGGGTCAAAACGTAATTTAAAAAAATTATATCCTGTCAGCGCCACGTCAGCAGCCACGTCAGCGGCCCAGTCAGCAGCCCTGACCAACCAGGACCTGCCGTGTGGCAAGACCACGTCGACTCGGGAACGGGCCACGTGAGCGATCCACGTGCGCGCGATCGGACGGCCCAGATGCGTCCCCGCGCACACGGACGGCCCAGATGCACGCGCACGGACGGCCCAGATTCAATCAAGTACGAACGGCCCAGATTTAATCAAAATGGACGGCTGTAATTAAAAGGCAAAAGGGTATAAATAAAACCCCCACACCTGACCACAAAAACCCTAGCCGCCTGCCCTCGCCGGACAAGACAAACCAGACGCCGGAAGAGCCGGCCGCCGCCGCACCGGGGAGTTTTCTGACCGTCGATCGAGGTAAATTTCATACCCCCGGCTCGTTTTTCAATGCTGAGTTCCCCTGTGACCAAATCGGAGCCAAAATCCCGGGCAAACGGCCGGAAAACACAGCCAAAACCCAACGGCGCCGCCGCTCCCCTCCTTGATTTTTGCCTCCGATGAGGCCCTTCCCGGCCTTCGTTTGATACAATTTTTATATCACCGTGATCATAATTCTTTTCTCTACAGGTTGATCGGAGCCAAATCACCAAAACACGAACCTCGCCGGAGAGCCGCCGCACCCAAGAGCACCGCCGCCGGTAAGCTTCGGTTTTTTGTAATTTTTTTGGCCCCCCGAGGGCCCGAGGGTTGTTTTATCGCAGGGACCGATGCAAGTGTGGTCGAATTCGGCCAAAAACGACCAACCCGAGGCGAATCGCCGCCGCAAGGGGCGACACAGTCACCGGAGCACGGCGGAGCCGCCGTGCCGGAATTGCGATATTGGCCGAAAGGGGCCCTGGGTCTAATTTGGGATTTTTTGGGACATGTGCAGGTACCAGTAGTGCGTTTCAGTTCCCCAAAAAAAATTCAGAAAAAATTAGGGACAGCCTGCAGGCGCACTGTAAAGCCGTATTCGGACCCCGAAACAAGTAAGGACCCCTCACCCTATTTCCTATCACGGTATTAAAGTCCAATAAATGATAAAACGGTATTTCATGAATCAACATATGTGTAAAATTGTTTAAGGTCGCTAATGGAGCCTGAGTCTGGTGTGTTTGTCGGTTAGCTGTTGTTTGGCCTATTTTACGGTTTTAAATGCAGTATGCAGTCTGATGTTTTCATTTCATAGTTTCGTGTGCATATTTTACTGTTTTATTGATTATGGGTTGAATGACTGAGAAACCGATGTTGTATGTTGTCTTGTTTGGCATAAATTACTGGTTTGCTTGTTTGTGTGTGAATTGATGATGCTGACTGAGGAAAAGGGGA